TGTTTTGTTTTTGTCTATGTTGTTGTTATTTTGTTATTTTTTGTTCTCTTTAAAATAAAAAAAATAAAAACAACATATAAAGGACAGAGGGTTGCTGCTTGTGGCTTGTCACTTGTCTGTCACTTGTAGCCTGCTGCTTGCTGCCGTGCTGCCTTCTGCCTGCCGTGAACTGCTTCTCTTCTGTGACCCCCTCTGCCATGCCACCCTGCCTTGTGACCAGCCAACTATGAACTGACACCTCTACAAACCATTAGCCAAATAAACCTTTCCTCCTTTAACTTCAGGTATTGAGTATTTTGTCCCAGCAGTGAGAAAAGTAACTGAGACAGGAGTGTTTTGAGGGGGATTAGTGACAACGTGCCTTTTAATAAATTGTTTTTAATGTAAGCATTCTCCATGCGTTGTGATCATACTTCGTATGTAGAGTACCTGCCACAGGCTATGCCATATCCTAATTGCCCAGATGCATCATTGCAGAACAGTCCCTGACCTCAGGATGCTGACATCCTAGTGGGAGGAGACAGACAATAAGCAAGTAAACAATAAAGAAGAGAATAAGTAAAGTAGTTGAATAAATAAGAAAATTGTAGTGGTGGTAAATCCTGTGGAGACAATAAAACAGGGTGATGTGATAGTAAGGGATTAGGAGTGGAGTGGCTGCTTTATATGGGGGGTTAGGGTAGCCCTCTCTGAGAAACTAAGACCCAGGGCATGAGCAAGAACCAGCTATGTGAAAATCTGGGTAATAGTTTTATGAACAGAGGAAACAGCACATACAAAGGCCATGGGGCAGGAATGATCTTGACGCATGTGAGGAGCAATAGAAAATCCAGGGTGTGGCTGCAGCAGGGTGGTAGAGGGAGGGTAAGAGATGAGCTCTGGGCATAGCCATGGGGCTAACCACGGAGCGCTTCACACGCTATGGTAAAAGTCTGGGTTTTAATTGCATGAGAGGCCTGTAGGTTTCAGCAAAAGAATGGTGGGGTTCACTTTAGGTTTTGAAGTCACCCTGGCTGTTTCATGTGGGTGTTGTGGGGCAGAATCTGAAAGTCAGGGTAACAGGTTCCCGAAGACATCCCCATTTGAATTCCTGGCTCCTGCGAATAGTCTACACGGCAAGGGAGAATTAAGGGAGCAGATGGGGTTAATTTGCTCATCAGTGGATCTTAAAACCCAGAGATCATCCTGGACTATCTGGGTAGGCCTACGGTAATGACAAGGGTCTTTAAATTGGGAAGCGGGAAGGAAGCAAAGGAGTCACAACAAGAGAGATGCAGCATGAGAAAGAGTTGAGCGACCACTGGTGACTTTTTAAAAAATTAGCCCATGTTTGCTGTATATAGTGATTACATTTACTGTGCAGAGTTGGTGCACATCCACAACACAGTTTATTTATTTATTTATTTAGTCTTTTTGAGACAGGGTCTCTCTGCCCTTCAGGCTGGCCTTAAGCACTCACTTTGTAGCCCAGGCTGGTCTCGAACGCTCAATGATCCTCTGCCTCAGCCTCCCGAGTGCTGGGATTACAGGCGTGCATCACCATGCCTGGTCTTACAACACATTTTCAAACCACTTTTTAATCCCCTCCTTTCATCTCTTGATCTCCTTTCCATTTGAGAGCGACTCATCTCCCTACTTGCTACTACTTTAATTTTGCTCTTTACTTATTATTTGTGTTTCTCAAAAAAGAGATATTTAATCTTGTGTGTCTGACTTATTTATGGTCTAAAGGCACTTCCATTTTCCTACAAATGACTCAAATTTATCTTTCTTTATGGCTGAGTATACTCCATTGTGTGTAAATACTATATTTTTTTGATCTATTCATCTGTGGATGGATATATAGGCCACTTCCAAGATTTAGCTATTATGAATTGGGTTGCTATAAACACGGGTGTGCATATATCACTGTAATATGACATCTTTTACTCTTTGGGGAAGATACCTAGAAGGGGAATAGCTGGGTCGTATGGAATTTCTAGTTTTAGTTTTTTGAGGAATCTCCATACTGATTTCCATAGTGGTTGTACTAGTTTACATTCCCACCAGCTATGTGAAAGTATTCCTTCTCCCCTGACCCACAGCCGTGCCAGTATTTATTATTTGATTTCTTGATGACGGCCATTCTTTCTGGGGGGTAAGATGGAATCTCAGTGTTGTTTTAATTTGTATTTTTGTAATGGCCAGTGATGTTGAACACTTCATTGTGTATTTTTTGGTTATTTGTGTTTATTCTTCTGTGAAGTGTATCCATTTCAGCTTCCCATTTTTTGCTTGGTCTTTTATTTGAGGGGAGTCTAATTTTTTGATTAGTTGTCTGTCTGAAGAATACTTGAGAAATTTTTTTTTTCCCATCCTATGGGCCATCTTTTCACTGGGTTGTTTCCTTTGCTAAATTTGATGTGATCCCATTTGTTGATTCTTGGTACTATTTCCTGTGTGTGAACCAAGGCATATGGGCAGCCTCTAGCAGGTGGAAAGCAAGGAAGGGGATTCTGTTGGAGAACTTCCAGGTAGGATGCTAACCTTGCCACCATCTTGATTTTGGCCCACTGAGACCCATTTAAGACTTCTGACCTCCAAAACCATAAATTGATAAATTTGGGCTAAGCCCCCATGCTTGTAATATTTGTAACCCTGTCAATCAGAAAGTAAGACACAAGGAGTCCTAGAAGGAAGCTACTGTCATTGTTTAGGTGAGCTTTGGAAATGGCTCTGACTTTACCTTCCTGCCTAGGTGCGAGATTTACGCGAGGCCCTCCTTCATGCTGAGTCATCAGGCCATTTGTTACTTCTCTACAGGCAAGAGTTGGCCTTTAACAAGTTCCTCCCGGTGCTTACACCAAAGCACAACTAGTTCCCATTCATGGGATTCCAGGTCATCCTAAGGCAATGAACTTTTCATGGCAGAATCAGGAGCAGACAACTTGGGGGAAAGCCAAATAGTAGGGCAGGGCGGTGAACCAGTCTGTGGATGTGGAGGGGGAAAATCTTCACTTGGACAGGAAGAGAGGGTTGAACACTGTGGAGAGTTGTAGGCCTGACAAGATGCTCATCCTGTTTGGAAAAAGTCCTCACGGTGAATCCCAGATGCCTCATGCAGACTACACAGCGGTGACTTTGCACTTCTTTTCTCTCTTGATCTCTGATAAATAAATCTCTTTTGGAATCCGTCCACTGATCAGCCAATCAATCTATTAGACGGAGAATTCCTTCCTTCTGTGGGTTCTCCACCTTGAGTAGCACTTATGTCTCTTTTTGCATTTGTCAAAACCGGAATTAAAAGTGTGTGGGTTCAGGGGTCTATTTTTATAGGATAATTCACTGGGCTGAAATATTCAATATCCATGAGTATTTTTTTAAGAGTTAGTAGGAACCCATGAAGCTACACATTATTTTAGAATACTGTAGGTTTTTGTTTTTTTTTTTTGTAAATGGTGGCCCAAAACTGTCTCTTATATTTAGAAGCCTGAATCTAAGGTTACGTATCAAGATACATGCATGGTGCTATTTTGCTGAATGCAGCTGTCCTGCTGTAGGCCAAAGATAATTTGCTGATCCAGGAGCTGAGGCCAGCGATTTTATGTCTGCATCTGCTTCTGCCCATAACTTGTGTGCAAAGACAGGGCAACTTCAAGCGCTGTAGCCACATCAGCCTGAGCAATACAAAACGTGGGTGGGACAGGGCCACCGAACCTCCTTCCCTCACATGTAGCCAGAGCTCCCTCCTGTAAGCAGCTCTATAATATTCTGTTCATGCTTCTCGCAGCCCCTTCCAATTATCTGTGTATGTGCTCGTTCCCTCCCTTTAGACTGTGAGCACCCTTTTCAGGGCCCCCGCTTGATCATAGTGGAATTTCCAAAGCCTGGTCCGGTATCCGGGGTTGAGCAGGTATTCTACACATAGTGGCCAGATGAGGAAATGGACGTGAGTGACAGCACGATGGGGGAGTTGTTTGAAAAGCTTGGAGTCCCATAGTCCTGTGTGCAGAAAGCATAGTTAGAAGCAGAATGCTTAATGTGGACAATGGTGGTTTGTTCTGCCCAGCATCTGTCTCTCCTTCTGGTAAAAGCACTTTGGCTTTCCTTCGGGGAACCAGCCCTTCCCACACTCTCAATCCATAAAGACTGCCTGGAGCTAACCTCACGCTCACCTCCTCTGGGTCAATACTGATTTAAGGCCTGGCCAAGGAGGCGGCTGAAGACCCTTGGGCACAGCATCAATTTGTATGGATAAGGTGCTCACACCTGTTTGTTAATGGATCCTACCCATTCTGATGGGCAGCTTCCTGATTGGAATCAATTGTGCATTATTTTGAATTGAACCTTGTTTTTTTTTCTCTGTAGCTATTAAGGCAGAAGCCTTTATTTGCACAGGTGTTGCTAATTTGACAGGAAGAAGTCCAAAGCTAATGGCAACCATCTCATCACAATGCAAGTAAAATGCACTCAATACATTGAGGCTGAGAAAGCGAGAGAAACAAGTTCTTAATAACATGGAACGCCAAGATCCAGCCACACCTGAAGCCACCCCTGGAATTTTCAGTTACAGAAACAGTAAGCTGTACTTTTTGCTCTAGCTAGTGTTTGTCACCAGCTAATGAAAAAGTCTTTTGGGAGCTGCATCAAATCAATCCTTTTCCTAGTTGTGCTTTTGAGAGTAGCAAGGGGGAATTTCAGCTTTGCCGAATGTCCTGCAGAAGACAGTGATCCTACTTTGTCAGCATTAAAATGAAAAATTAGAGCCTCCTTAACACTAGGGATCTCCATGAAAATTTTCTTTCTTTATTTTGATTAAAACAGAACCAACATTTGAGACGCTTCATAGAAGGGCATTGCAGGCCATGTTAGTTCAAAGTGGATGCCTCTCTAGCCCCATCCCTGCCCTCTCTATGGTCTTCTGTTCGGAAGGATGCTGAGATGGATGAGCACATTTTGGTTATGGACATGTCTAGGAGAATGGGAATCCCAAGAAAACATGACTCACACACCATAGTAGATAGTCTTACTTAAAACCGTTTTTATTCTGCCTCTCAGCAACACTTTTCATTTGATTTGGGTAAAAGACTAGGAAGGGACCCAAACACACATAAACAAACAACAAAATGTCAGAAACAATATCAAGATCCAATATACTGGAATGGCTCTAGCTAGCATCTCTGTGTGCTGAGAATTCATGTCCCTGACTTACTGTCCTCCTGGGACAAGCGCTGGCTCGTGATGGACGTCTGGATGAAATGACAGGTGGAATCTGGTGTCCATCAACTTTTATTATTTTGCTAGGCTCCAGTATTTTAACAAATGCCTGAGATTTAAAATGCTCTAAGAACCATGCTTTGTATTTGTACAGCACTTAGAATTCTCCTGCCAGGGAGCATCTTTTATGACAATTTTCATAACACCATGAGGTAAGTAGGCAAGCATTCTTATCTCCATTTTCCAGATGAAGAAATTTGAGCACAGACAGGCTAAGAAACTTGCTTAAAATCAGCTTGCATAGCTAGTTAACAAAAAAAATGTATTTTGACTCTTAGCCTTTTTTGTTTGTTTAACTAGAATAAGCTGCCTTTTCTTTTGAATCTAAAATTCGTTACCACTGTATTTCTAACACTACTTGTTGACCTGACTTTTGCTATTTATATACATATATTTCACGTGTTCCGTTAATGACCTGGTATTTGTCTTTGAGTCCATTTATTTTTAAGTAAGTTTATTTGAATAGAAACAATATAGCACACACATCTTGGCAAAGCCACAAATGGAAGGTAATAAATTAAATACCGTGAAAACAAAATAGTATCACTGAATTCTCTGTAGACACAGACCGGGTTTGAGGGCTGCTTTCTGTTTAAAAGGCCACAGTGTCAAAAAAGTGTTAAGGATCCGTTCTCTCCCAAACAAACTTTCTCCTTGCTGTAATCAGGATTGAAAAGGAACAGAAAAGGAGTTCTATGTGATTCCATATTAATTAGTGCTGTGCCTATGAACTAATCAGAAATGATCTGTGTACCACCAGTGGCACACATTCTGCAGAACACTGGCGGCACATCTGGCAGGCAGACTAACGGCGTCAGCAAACTAGCTCATTCAGACCTAAAGGATTTGCCTTTGACAGAAAAGTAATATGGGGGGGGTATTTCCAGGTGGCATCCAGGAAAACCAAAGATTGAAATGAGAGAGAGAGATAGATAGATAGATAGAGAGAGAGAGAGAGAGAGGCTGATTAGATACTAGGAGAGTGGGGGTTGGGGAGTGTATATTCTGTAAACACAGCCAGTTTATTCCCAAACTTGGCATTAAGAGGATGCTCTGAGCCTAGGATTGACCACTGAACACATTCTCAGAGTCTGCTTGAGTGAAGACTGAGGTTATGATCATATTGATCAATGAGGATGCAAGCAAGAAGGGGCTGGGGATTTAGCTCAGCTGCACAGCGCCTGCCTGGCAAGCACAAGGTTGTGAGTTTGATTCCCGGTCCCGGAAAAAAACCAAAAAAGAAAACAAAAAAAAAGGATGCAAGCAAGAAAGTTGCGGGTGAGGTGCTATGAGGAAAAATAAGGGTCAAGACAGAAGCGTAGAGGGTCTTCAGGTCTTTGACCACCTGGTTGGGGAGTTTTGGGGATGCTGATGGGGAAGCAGTCATTAAAGACTGTAGCGAACCTACAACATGGAAAAATGAAAGAAAAAAATCCATGAATTCAACTGCATTAGACAACTTTAAACATGCTGCAGATGTTGTATTTGACGCTATAAACACTAGCATCTTCCTGGGGCCTCCTATTCTGCCCAGATCCAGTCCCCTACCCAACGGAGAGGCACGGGTTTCTGGACGTCACCTCTGGAGAAGAAGATTGCACACGCAGAGCTTCGCTCGGTGGACACAGTGAGAGTTCGTTTTCTTCGTCTTCTTCTTCTTTTTATAAATCACTGACATTGGCTGATGCGGCTGTGTGGCTTGGATTTCCTAAATTGGGGACTTTTTGTTGTTGCTGCTCATTTGCCAGGGACCTGCCTCTGGAGAGTCCTGAGGAAGAGATCTCACAGTCTAAAGTCAAGGATCCATTCCTCACAAACTTCTTCGGGGGTGTGGACGAGGGTCATCCTCCATGCTTGCAACCAACCACGGGCTCCTCAGGCACTGTGTAGTACAGAGAGACAGAGTGAGAAAGAAAGCCTGCGACCGAGCCTCCCCAGTGGGCTTTCTGGGCTTGCCGATTCCTTACGCGATGGAGAGCATTTGGCTACACAAGTGCTGAAACTGACTGGTAGACCTGCATGCTTTTCACTCTGATGACGTCCATTTCATTTGGATCTATCTACATATCTATATCATCTATGTCTATATCTATCTATATTATCTATACCTGTATTATCTAACCTATATCTATCTCATTGAGCTACATCCCCATCCCAGTTTACATTGTTAATTTTGACACAGGATCTTGCTAAGTCACTAAGTCTCCCAAACGGGGCTGGAACTTTTCACCTTCCTGCCTCAGCCTTCCCCTACAGTGCTAGGATTGCAGGCACGTGTTTCCATGCCTGGCTTGGAAAACATATTTTATTTTACATGTGACACCTGCAAAACAACAAATGATACAGATGCAGAAAAATGTCTTGAGTATTTCTGAAACTGCTATCAGAAGCTTGGTGTGCATCCTCCAGGTACTTACCTCTGCATGGAGAAGTGACATACTCCTCGTGTGTGGTGACTGAACTAGATCATGCTGTATACAGTTGTCTACAAGGATTAGTCCTAAGACCCCTAAGGACACTAAAAGCAAAGGATGTTCGTGTCTCTTATGAAACAGCATGGTATTTCTGCACAACCCAGGCACAACTTCCTGTGCCCTTGAAATCATCTCTGTATAATAGCCAATGCAATGTAAATGCTAAGGGAGTAGTTGTTACACTGTATTGTTCAGGGAATAAGAGCAAGAAAAATGTCTGTATATGCTCAGTACAGATCCACGTATTTTTTTTCCCTTCTGTAGTTGGTTCGGTCTGCAAATGCAGAACTCGTGAATGTAAAGGGCCAATCGTACATTGTTCTGCTATTTCCTTTTTCTTCTTTTTATTTATTCCTTCATTTATTTAATTAATATTTACCAGCTGGACACCGCTCTAGGTGCTGATGACAGTAATCTCAACAGTTATACAGTGAGTATCGTGTGTCCTACGCTTTATGCAATTTAATCTAGGCCTTACGCTTTAGGCAGTTTAATCCTCCCAGCTCTAGGAGGTAGGTACTGTTCATACGTCCATTTCATGTAAGAGAACACTGAGGCAAATACTGGCTAAAAGACATGTCCAAGGACACAGAGCTGCTTAGATGTAGAACCTTGATGGAAACTCCAGCAGTCTAGCTAGCTTCAAAGTACTCATTCTCAGTTCTAGGCTCTATTATTATGGACAGTGACAGGAATGAAAATGTGTCTGGAGTTTTCATTTTAGTAGAGGGAAGTAGGTCATAAATACAAATTTATCAGGAAGTCATAAATGCTAGGACGACTGAATAAAGGGACAGCCTCTCTGCTAAGGTAATATATGAACAAGTACTTAGGGGAGAGATGGAAATAAGTTGCGTACATATTAGGGTGAAGACAGGTACAGGCAGAGGGAATAGCATGTGCAAAGGCCCTGAGGCAAAAAACATTCTACAGGAACATCCAATATGGCTGAGCTGGAGAATGAAGAGAGTGCTGGGAGATGAGGATAGATAATCAACAACTAGATCATATAGGGACTTGTAACATTATTAAGAAGGATGTTTCATGTTAAAGCTGCAGTGTCTTGTCTGACTTTATGTATAAACCACTGCTTATTTACTCTGCCTATTGATGGACATTTAGATGTTTTCAAGGTTTCCCTTATTTCAAACAAAGCTACTACAAGTATCCTTGTGTATCTGTGGTCCTGAGCTTTAAAACCTCCCAAATGCCTGGCCCATTACTAGGCCTGGAGATTCTAATTTAAATGGTCTGGGGTAAATTCTGGGCATTGATTTGTTTTTTAAAGCTCCTTAGGTGATTCTAATTTGTAGCTAGCATGGAGACTAACAGTTTCACATACATTTTTTTTGTCTTTTTGAGACAGGGTCTCACTATGCAGTTCAGGCTGGCCTCGAGCTCACTTTGTAGCCCAGGCTGGCCTCGAACTCACAACGATCCTCCTGCCTCAGCCTCCCGAGTGCTGGGATTGCAGTCATGCTCCACCACCCCTAGCCACCTACATTTTTGTACACCCGTATCTATGGGTGGATTTTGAGAAGTGGAATTGATAGGTTGGCAGGCATGTGGATTTTAAAATTCAATAAACATGAATGGCCTTCGGTAAACAAAAAATTGGCTCACAGTCCCTCCGTGGATACTAGATCAACAAAAGCTCAAGGCCCTTACATAAAATAGCCTAGTATTTGCATCTCACTGACACATATCCTCCTGTATACTTCAAATCATCTCTAGATTCCTTGTAATACCTATATAATGCATATGTTACATAAATAGTTGTTACAGAGTGTTGGTTAGAGAATAATGTAAAGAAAATGGTCAGTATAAGTTCAGTGCGGATATAATTTGTTTTTCCACATATTTTCCATCTGATTTTGGCTGAATCCATGGATGTGGAGCCCACAGATAGAGAGGGATGACTGTATATCCAAACTGGCTTTCCCCAAAACTGTCCCACCAGTAGTCCAGTGCCCAAGTTTTTCACACCTTGCCAACTTTGATATTATCCATCTCTTTAGCTGTTTCAGTCTGGCTGATAAAATAATATAGTATCTCGCTATAGCTCTAATCTGTGCTTCCCTATGGGTTTGAACATCTATTTTGCATTTATCCTGATTTCTTCAGAAATGATCCACTAGCTTATGTCCTTTTCACAGTAAAAATATTTCCATTGTTCCTGGCAACTTAAGTCTGACTTTTTCTCCTCCTCAACTTATCTGAGCCAACAAAGAAAAACTCTTCTGACCTTCTGGAAATAGGCACTCTTCCCCATTTTTCATTCTGAAATCACACACACACAAATTTTCCAAAGACACAGCTACACAAAAACAATTCCCAGGAAGCTTAGCTCTAGCCAGTGATAGAAGAGAGAAGATGGATTTGCTTTTGTTTTTGCAAAAAAGGCTAAGTTCCTTTTTCATGCTCACTGCAATATACTATATGTTTCCTTCTGATCCTGACACAATTGCAGGATATTTTGAAGCTAGGGAAGAATTCATATCAATTTGTTTCTAAGAGAGAGGTTTTCTCCGTATGGAAAGGGTTAATATTTCCTCAGTCTGTGCCTCCTAATGGAACACAGTCCTGGGGCTCTTAAACCTGCTTACAGGTCAAGTTCTGCCCTAAGAGAAACTTTGACGTGTACAGGATTTTATGAGTAATGAGCAAGCACTTTTAATACATGGCTGGTTGTGGACACGGCTGGTTCCATGTCTTCAGGATCACTTGGAGATTTAAGTTAAGAGATCACATTGTCTGTATACATTTAACATATGTTTCTTGAAAAGAGAAAAACAAAAACAAAAACAACGAACCATTCAAATGGAGCTGGAGGATCTGGCTGCAACTCCACTCAGTAGTCAGGAACATGGATGAGATAATTTCTGTTCCTTCTATGTGAGCGTGGAGCATGGTCCCAGGGTTTACAGAGACACCAAGAGCTTGAACACAGCCAACCACTTCATCAGGGCTCAAGTCAAGGGACTTCCTATCACTGGAGATCCTCGCTGGTTGTGTGGGCCTGATTAACAACTACACGTGAGTCTGAATAGGGTGCCCTCGAATGCATGCTCCCAAGAATGGTTATTCACAAATCTCCCCTCTCCCAAGTTTGGTTATTCTCAAAGCTCTCCTCAGGCTCTGACGTAAGAACTTCACTCCCAAGTAAAATGAAACTCCACTGTATCACCAGCACCATCTGAGGATGTCATTTTTGTGGCAGAGAAGGCTTGTCTCCTTTGTATCCAAACTTTGTCATGGTCAATTGATTCTTCTGAATTCTGTGGAACACTGGATAAATGATCATGACCCTGGCCAAACTTGGGAGGTATATGCATTTTCTAGGGAAGCAGCCATAATTGAAGCTGCTACTTGGTATCTTAACTGACATACTGAGATATAATAAGAAATAAATACTGGGTCTTTGCCCCTGTTTCGTGAGCACCTCACACCCTTACAGATAGGAGTACTAATTTAAGAGAATCTTTTATGCTAATAGTTGGTCTTTGACCTGAGCTCCTGACATAGAGCTTTTATTCTTTTTTTTTCTTTCTTTTGTGCTGGGGATTGAACCTCAGGCCTTGCACATACTGGGCAAGTGCTCTACCACTAAGCTACATCCCCAGCCCTCTGACGGAGCCTCTACATCCCTTCGAATTTCCTCAGTGATCTGAGCATCCTTTGGTCTAACAGAGACTCTTGGTGGGCTCCTGCATGCCTCAGGATGGGCCCTTGTTGCCAGCGGAACCAACCATGTGATTAGAAGAACTTTGTACCCCTCTTTCCCATCCTCCAGGGAGGGGAAAAGGGCTGAAGGTTGAGCTAATCACAAATGGTGATAATATAATCAATCATGCCTGCATATGGAGTCCTCCACAAAAACCCTGACATGGTTCTGAGAGCATCTGGGCCACTGGACACATGCCTGGGGTGTATCATGCATAGAGAAAACATGAAACTTCACACATTCCTGTATACCTTGCCCTTCCATTTCTTCCATCTGGGCATTCTGCTACATCTTTTTTTTTTTTTTTTTTTTGGCTTTTTGAGACAGGGTTTCGCTATGCAGTTCAGGCTGGCCTTGAGCTCACTTTGTAGCCTAGGCTGGTCTTGAACTCACAACGATCCTCCTGCCTCAGCCTCCCAAGTGCTGGAATTACAGGCATGCACCACCACGCCCAGCTCAGCTACATCTTTTGTAATACGCTTTACAACAAACAAGCAAATGAGTTTCCCTGGGTTCTGTGAACCACCCTGGCAAATTAAAAGAACCTGAAGAGGAGGTGATGGGAACCTCTGACAGAACTAGTCAGTCTGTCAGAAGCATGGGTCACAGTCTGGGCTTTACAAATTGCATCTGAAGTGGGGGACATCTTGTGGGAACAAGCCCGCTGCCCATGCGATATGACTGTAACCCTTGGTGTCAGAGTTGAGTTAAATTATAGGACACAGAGTTGAGTCTGCTGGAGAATTGCTTGCGTTGAGTAGCTAGGAGAAGAAAAACTGTTTAACACTTATATTAGGGATGTAAAAAAGTCTCATTTTGTGGCTTATGTCCATACAGGCAAGAATGTCCTCTCTTAATACTAGAATGGTGCCTCCGCAACTTGAGAACATTTAAAATTAATTCCGTGTATGTGTGTGTGTGTTGTTTATGATAATGCATAGTTCAAATCCAAGTGACTGGGGCCCAGGAATCTGCATCTTTATCAGCAGCCCAGCTGAATTTGTTGTCTTAGATCCAAACTTTGAGAACATGACCTCTGAGAATAACCTAACCTTGCTTGAATTCTCAAGGCACTAGCAAAGTAGAAGCCTGCATGAACTTATTAGGATTCATAAAAGTTCCAATGTTCAAACACTTCACCTAGGTGAGTAACCCCTCCACTTTCTCTAGCAATTTAAAGGCAGAGAATTTCCTGACCTTTGAGACGTGGCAAGTTCCTGCTTTCATTGAGATCAGAGCACTCTTGTGAACACAGTATTCTACCCAGAGCTACTGAATATTGCGGCTCAGTGATTCTCACTTCTCATGAATTCGATGATGTGAAACCCTGCCTTTGTTCATCCACCACGTGGATTGCATAGATAGCCTCCAAGATTAGAATGAATGAGTTTGGGGAAAGACTATCAAGAAAGTAAATGACCTGGGGTTTCAACTATTTGGGTACCAATCTCTTCCCCAATGTGTTCGTTACCATCTTCTCAATAAAGATAAAGATTAATTATTTATTTTTAAAAGTAATCAATTTTTTTTGCAATTCTGGGGATTCCAAACCCAGGGTCCTGAATACGCTAAGCAGGTGCTTTCCCACTGAGCCGTAATCCCAGCCCAAGACTCATGTTTTTTTCAAAGGCAAGGACTTCACAGTTTTTTCAAGGCAGTAGTTTACTTCAGGCTATATTTTTAAATGTAACCCAGAAATGGGTTTTTGTCTCATTCCTGGCTTGGCGTCCTCTGTAGTCAGATTCTCCCAGTTCCTCTTTGGTGTCTTCGGATTGTTACAGCAGGGCCTCTCCGGGTACATCTGCTAGGCGGTAACCTTATGCCTACCCCTGGCACTGACTTAGACGTTACAAGTTAGGATGATGAGTTTGCTGATGTAAACGAAAGCTGACCGCTCTGTTAACAGCTACCATCGGTGTGTTCTTCCTTTTGGACTTTGAAGGGAGGAGATTTGCCAGGGTTTGGCAATGAGGGTTCTGCTAACCATCAGGGTCTGAATCCCCAGAATGGGAGTGGGAAGCTGAAAAAAAAAAATCCATATTCCTGGGACTCATATCTGATTTGGCAAATTGGAATTTTTTGAGATGGGACTTGGATGAGAATTTCTTTTCAGCCTCTGTTATGTCAAAGGATTACTGAGAAATAGGCCACGTTATTCACCTTAATGGGAGATAAAATTTATTTAATTCCCTGAGGGTTACTTCCTCCTTCTCTCTGTCCCTCTTTATCTCTTCATCTGTGCCTCTCCTCCTTTCTCTTCATCCCTCTTTCCCTTTTTCTTTCTTTTTCTGTCCTTTTCTCTTTCCTCCCTCCCTCCCTCTTGCACATGCACGGCCAAGTTTAAATTTGAGTTTCTTCATGGATTCTAAACATGGAAATCTTTTTTCTTTGATAACATGGAGGGAAAGGCATCTAAAAGGAACCTGACCTTATAGAGACAGAAATAATTCTACTTTTATTTTATGGGTAGAGAAATGGAGTCACAGAGGATTTAATTAAGTTCCCAAATGGTCTGTGTGTTAGAAGTAGGATTTGGATTCTAATTTTCTCTCTCTCTCTCCTTTTTTTTTTTTTTTTTTTTTTTTTTTTGTCTTTTTGAGACAGAGTCTCACTACGCAGTTCAGGCTGGCCTTGAGCTCACTTTGTAGCTCAGGCTGGTGTCAAACTTGCAACGATCCTCCTGCCTCAGACTCCCAAGTGCTGAGATTACAGGTGTGTGCCACTGGATCCTACTTCTCTAACTAGGCTCTAACCACTGTGAAATGCTGCTGCTGTAGAAGGAGAAATGCAGAATTGACCCTTTTGTACTTTTTATTCTAAGAGAGTTTCAACCACAAGCACATACAGATCAGCATTTCTTCTCTAGCTGGAGACATTTATATTAAGAATGGAGAAAGTGCTCATAAATGAAAAATTCTGGGTTCCTTGTTAGTACTTGGAAAATTCTCATAGGCAAATTGGTCTTGGAAAGCCAAATTTGCCACCATGGATTGCAAAGTAAGTAGTACTCAAGCTGCAGATACAGTTATTGTTTTTGATTTATTTATATCTGGCCCTCCCCATTGCTTTAATAGAGTGACTTGGTTGTCAGCATCTAAAAATCAGATGGCTTTACATAAAAACCCAGATTTCCAACACCTCTTAATAAACAGGGGCTTCATGCTAAGTGGTACTAACTGGAGTAAAGTGGTGGCCTCTCCCTTTAAACTGTGCTGTCCGGGTCGCCGCAGCTCCCACCACTCTCCAGACTGTTTATTCATCAATGTTTCCTGCCTTTCTGACCCTGAGCCCTGATTTATCAAAAAAATTTTTTTTGAGAGAAGTTTCACTATGCAGTTCAGGCTGGACTTGAACTCACTTTGTAGCCCAGGCTGACCTGGAACTCACAGTGATCCTCCTGCCTCAGCCTCCCCAGTGCTGGGATTACAGGGGTGCTCCACCACACCCAGCTAAACTCTGGCTTTACCACTGACTAATTGGGAGACCTTAGACAAGTCACTTCACCTCTCTGAGCCTAAATTTCCTTATCTGCAAAATGGGGATAATAACTTCCTCTTTGGATTGCTGTAAGGATTCAGGGAGGATTAATTCATGTAAGAGCTTTGAATAGTACCTGGCACACAGCAAGGTCTAAGTCAGTGTCAGCTGCTATTATTATAACACACTCAGCTCAAACAGGGATCTGGGCAGTATGTATTTTCACAAGTCCCCAGGAGTTGAGCCAAGACTTGGCCTCATTCCTTTGGAACACTGTCCTTGGAGCCTGGTGCATGAGTGCAAATCTGGAACTCTTTTCAATGGCACCCTAAATTCTTAGGTGCTTTCTCATTCATGTTGATAATGGTCGTAATAATATGATTAAGAAATGGTCTGAAGATTTAGTGTACCAACCAGGGAACAGATGCCAAACAGTTCACAATTGACCTTTGCGGTAGCTTTATGAAATGGAAACTACTAGAACCCCCACCTTACAATTGAGGAAACTGAGGTTTGGAAGATTAAACAATTGGCTGGAGGGGAGTAAGTGGTCAGGGAAGACCTGCACAGGGCATCTGGTGCCAACCTGTACCATCAGCCACACACCCCATGGCTCCATGTACACACACACACACACACACACACGCACACACACACACAGCCTTATGTGAAGAATAAAGAAGGCTGTGCTCTCCAACCATGCTCTCCATCACAGGCTCATATGATCAAACTTCAGTTTGTTGATATTGGTACAAATCAGTTTGTTGATATGGATACAAATGTCATGAAACCAAGTAAACTTGTTTCCTTGGATGTCTTAGTGTCCCCTTCTCCATTTTTTCAACAAATCCACGTACTTTTCCTTTGGGGTTCTTCCTGGTAGGGTATCACCTCTTCCTTCCAGCTGCCATTGACTCTTCCTGGGTCTGGCTTGTCCAACAGGAAGGTGATCTACTGTGACATTTACATCCCTTGGTGGCCAAGACTGGGTTGCCCGGCCTGGCAGAATGGAGGATGTCTGCTTCCTCCCTCACCCACCTGGATGAGCCTCTTTGGTCCACCAAGCCAAAGAGGTTGGGTTTCTCAGCGCATGCAGATCTGTCGAAATGCTTTAGTCAAAGGTGGGGGAATATCCGTGCTTTTCTGGCAGAAAAGCTAAAGACTCTCTCAGCATTCCTAGCTGGGTGGCCAGGATTTACACAGAAGGCAGATGGATTTAGGCTTGCCCTTCTGGGACTGGGATGGCTATCACTTCACCTCCTCTGACAAACTTCCCCTGGGAAATGTCACTGGCTCCGGCAGAGGCAGCTCATCTCAGGTAACGAGAGAAGTCAGAAGAAATTTACCCAGCTCCAGGGAGAAACCTCAACAGCATCCATCTCTATGAGATGAGCACTCAGTGGTGATACCAGAAGGATGTGTTGGCTCTTCTGTCCTTTAATTAAAAACGATTCGGCCACTTTGAGGCAGAATCGCGCAGAAGTCATTCACAGAGCCCATGAGGTGATTGGTTTTACTTATTTAATTGTGAGTCTATGTGACATCTGTGGCACCCGGACCGAGGCAGGGAGAAGCCTACATGAGATTCTTGCTTCTTCTTCTCCTACTTTAGCCTGAGGACTCTTCCTGTTCTAGATCAGAGGCTTACAAACTGTGGACCACTGACAAAATGCCTGCTTCTGTAAATAAAGTATTATTGGAACACAGCCCTACGTGTTCATTTACATATTGTCTGCTTTTGTGCTAAAATGGCAGTGCTAAGTAGTTGTGATAGAAACTGTGACAGGGACCATATGACCTGCAAGGCCTAAAATATTTGCTATCTGGCCCTTTACAGAAAACATGAGTTGACCCCTGTTCTAGGTAGAATACATACAAGATGGCTGACTTTTAGTCAGCCTGGGATCCTGAATGAGTGCATGGAGGAGAGAACTTCCCCCCACCTACACGGCCCACGTCATATGAAGAGCCTTTTGTTTTGACTTGTTTGTTACTGCAGCAGATCCTAACCTATTCTAACAGATTCCACTGGGCACTCAAGGAAAATTGTTTAGGGATCCACACAGCTCACTTACTTCCTCGTGAAGTGCACCACACACGAGATGGTGATGATGATGAGGCCAATGATGATGGAGGCGATGGCCACCCACTTGGCATTCCGCCCCAGCCGCCTGGCTCCCTCGTAGTCTCCTTCGTTGTAGCTGTTCTGAGCCTGGGAAACACAAAGGAAGAGATGCTGACAACAGACAACCCACAAGAGAGGGGTGAAGATTCTCAGGCTGTTCCCGTAAAGCCACTCTACAAGGCCTTGGGGACTTTACTCCACTCCACGCCGGGCTGATGAGCAAGTGACATGGTTATTACCTCTTTCAGGAAGCCTTCCTTTAACTATGAGGCTGAATTCACCATCTCCTCTATACTTCCTGATTACTTTCACCTTATCATTTACCATCACATACTGAAGGGGTGGACCGAATTGTCCGTCTCTATGTCCAAGCCAAGGGCATTACTCATCCATACCCATAGGAAGGGCTTTCCAAGCTATCAAAATGTGGCACTGGTTGATAAGTAGCAGCTACCCTGAGGCTTGTCTTCCTTCCCCAAGGTCCTAGCCACCCTGGATCCTCCTGTGTACCCTCTGGACCACTACCAGACCAGCACTGTAAGGGTTATCCCTGGGCTCAGCCGAGAATCCTATATGATTCTGTAACCATGCCAAATTGTTAAATATTTAAGTACTGTCTTCGTTGCTAAGTACTTTGAATAGTGTCTGGCACATTTCAGGAGCTTAAGAAATATGTTACGAGCTGAATGGATGAGTGAGTGTATGTTTTCCCGCAAAATCTGAGTTCATTGTGGACAGCTTGGAGCTTCCTGTGCTGGCCCACTACCAGGTACAGAGTGGGACTGAGAGAATCCTTGCAGCATGGCTGCGTAGCCAAATCTCTCTCCTTTATAGTAAACCTTCTTTGTCACCCTACTGCTAAGAATCACCCAAAAGTTGTGCTGCAATCCAAAGAACACTGTTGTGTGTATTTTTTTGAAACAGGGACTCATTATGCAGTGCAGACTGGCCTCAAACTCATAAAGATCCTCCTGCCTCAGCCTCCCGAGTGCTAGGATAATAGGCTTGTGCCACCGCACCCTGTTGTATGTATTTAGTAGTTATGTTCAGAGGGACTGTCTCAGTGGTATAAACTGTAGATTTCATTGAGAGACTCTGTTCTTGATTCTGAAGTCACAGCACCTCAGAAGTCACTGTCCCCTTGCTGGACTTTAAGGGAGTTAGGCACAAGTTAGGCACTGTTCTGAGTCCGAGAAATACCAATAACAATAAACCAAATACCTCAGAGTTTTTTTGTTTTCTGAGCCTTTTACTAATTCTTGGAGTTCACAGCTTAGTCAGCAACAGACCAAGAGACTCAGTAATGAGGTGGGTTTGCTTTTAGGTATTTTGTGTGCAGGAGAGAGCAAGAAATCATCACCACGTCATGGGCTTCCTGCAAGGTGAGTTCTAGGATTGTGAGTCCTGGGTTCTAGAGTTCTCCAGCCTGAGGGTGCATTAGGGTGCAACAAGTGGATGTTTCTCTGGGCCCATACCGGAGAGATCCTGATTGAACTGGCGAAGGACAAGGTACCATCTTTTGATTGTGGTACATTATGCACACAATTTGCCATTTTGACCATTTGTAATTGTACAGGTCAACGGCTTAAGTACATTCATACTGTTGTGCAACCATCACCATCATTTATTCTCAGAACTTTTCATCTTCCCAAATGGAAACACCACTCCTGCTAAATGCTAGCTCCCCACCCGACCCTCCCCTCTGCCCCAGGCAATCACCATTCTATAGTATGACCCCATGACTCGCACTGTCCAGGGCACCGTATGTAAGTGGCATCACATAGTAACTGCCTTTTTGTGGCTGGCTTCTTTTACTCAGTCCAATGTCTTTGATGTTCTTCCACATGTCAGAATTCCCATCTTTTGTAAAGCTGAATAATATTCCATTATATGAACAGACTACATTTTCTGTATCTCTTTATTTATCTATGGACACTTGGGTTGCTTCTCTACTATTATGAAAGTTTCACTATGTTGAAAACCTTTGATCCAGGCAGCTATTCTTAATGTCTTGAAAGTCAAAATATTTGCCACCTTTAAACTTATACAAGGAAGTATGGAATATGTTTTGAAACTCAGAGAGATCTAAATTCAAATTCTATGTCATAGCAGCTGTGAGAACTAGGGAAAGTCATCAGTCTTTCTAAGCCTTATTTTTTCTCCTGTGAATATCCCCTCATATTACTACTGGGGCCAAGAGTAATGGCACCTTCACCATGTTGGAGGATCCAATGAATTAATGCATGTAAAGTGGTTCACACTGACCCAGGCACAGTATATGCTCAGTAAATGCTAGCTTTTACTGTAAATTGCCACTGCCTGCCTTGTTCTTATTTCTAAAGCTGAGATCTTTGGGTAGATAGAGAATCACGTCTATCTACTCCTTGCTAGATCAGAATTTTTGGAGACCCAGTTAGAGAAGCTGTTTTAAATGTTTCACAATCAAACTCACTGCATAGACTATTAGGAACCCCAAATTCAGAGCTCATAATCCAATTTAGAACTATGAAGATTCTCACCCCAAACTGATCACTATTGTTTTGTGCTTCCTAGAAAATACAGTTCAGAGATTAGTCATAGTGATGCTTTTGTGCTGCTATAACGAATGGAAAAATAGAGACAGACCCCTCTCCACAAACTATGTCAACTCTTGGCTTTTTGCTTTTTTCTTTTGTTTTTTTTTCCGGTACCGGGAATTGAACTCACAACCTCGCACTTGCCAAGCAGGTGCTGTGCAGCTGAGCTATATCCCCAACCCCCAACTCTTGGCTTTTTGGATAACGAAACAGTTTCATGTTCTCAGCAGCAGTGACCAGAATGGAAGAGGAAGAGCAGGTCTGGGCCATATTGAAAGGCAGGCACATCTATCACCTGTGCGTGGCCCACGAGCTCAGGTGACACGGAGGAGGTAACTGTGGGTCATCTGAGTTGTTGGGTGCAGGTCAGGGGATCATGCTGACCACCTGGCTGGGGATCTGGGTGAAAGCCCACGTCGATTCCTGCCCTATCTTCATCATCAGCTGCCAGGCTGCCATCTTGCCTACGACCCTCCGCTTTGCAAACCACCATCTTTCTGAGGATCGTGAGGGAGACCTTGAGTGAATTCAGAAATGGGACTGCTGTTGCCTTGAAAACAGATGAAAACCTATTTCAGTACCAAGTGTGGACTTGTCTCTTTCTACAGGAGTCCCCTTCTGAATCTATTTCCTCCTCTGGTGCTTGGAGATAGAGCTGCCCGCAGGTAAATCTGCTGAATAAATTCAAGGATACGTGGGAAGGATCAAGTAGAAATTTTAGAATTCTTAGATTTCTTTCTGAAGGAGTTTCATAGCTGAAGGTCTCAGGCTTAAAGGTAGAGAACAATAAACCAGAAGAAATTCTTTCTCTTTCCCTAAGATGTTGGCTGTATTTTTTTCCAACGCAGAGGACTGACCCCAGGGCCTCAAGCATCCTAGGCAAACACTCTACTACTGAGCTACACCCCTGGGCCTGAGCTGTAATTCTCTTCTTCTTCCACTTGGAATGTCATCCAAAGCACTTTTTGGCAGATGCCACAAACTGAAATGGTGGAAACTTATCTTAAAGAAAAATGTGGATTTCTGAATCTTTTTTTTTTTTTTTTTAAAGAGCTTAGGGTATAAATTATCTCATCTGGAGTGGAAGAACTAGAGAGAATCAGGATGGCTTTACGTATTCAAAATTTATATGATCTTACTTATTCTTTTCAAAAATTACTAATGCCATTCGTGAACATAGAAAACAGTTAAATGTTACGGAAACATATACAGCACATAGTAAAGCATTTCCCCTAATTTTGTTCCCTAGTTTTAGTGGTTTGGGGTATTTGTTTCTACATGTGTTTTTGCATGATTCTTGAAAAACACACTGACACATTCCCTTGCTTCCACTATGACTAAGCACATCATGTGTCACTGTTAGGAGAAAAAAAAAAAGCAATTTGCACCCTGAGATCAACAAAGTCAGTCTACCTAATCCAGATCCCTCAAATATTAAAACCGTGAGTATTTCCCATAAATCTCAGTGAACACAATTTCATCCCTGCCTATGGCAATGTCAAGGCCTAAACACACTTCCTTTGGGATACTGTAAACTCTTGAGAAAGATAGTGTACTGTTTTTTCCACGAAAAGATTAATATAAAACTTCCTGGTCACCTTGGCAACTTTGCATTTGTTTCTTTTAAATGCTTGTTTGATTTTTTTTTAAAAGGCTACTTGGCCTTTTGAGTGTCGGACTTCTTTCTGTTTCTTTTCAAGTAAATCTTTTGTTTTCTAAATGTTTTGGCTTCTGCTCTAATTTGAATCTTAAACGTTGCTAAAGCCCAATGTGCTAAAAGCTTGATCCCAGCTTGGGGTACTTTGGGAGGTGTTGGACCTTTTAAAAGGTGGGGAGAGATTTAGGTTGTTGGGGGCATGGTCTTCAAGGGAATCTGGAACCCTGGTGTCTCTGTCTATCTGTCTGTCTCTCTCTCTGTGTCTCTGTCTCTCTCTCTGTCTCTCTCTCTCCCCTAATCTCCCCAGAAGGTCAGTAACTTCACTCTTGCCGTGATCATGACACACTGCCTCACCATAGGCCCAAAGCAAAAAGGCCAACCAGCTGTGAACTGAAAACTTCAGACTGTGAACCAAATAAACCTTTTCTCTTTTTAAATTGATTATCCTGGGTTTTCTTTTTATAGTAATGAAAAAGCAGAACTTTTTCTTTTATAGTAACAGAAAGCTGAACTAATACAGACTCATTGTTCCCTTGCCAGAATAACGATATTATTATATAACATTTATTGACCATTTATTATATGCCAGGCACCGTATTAAATAGTTTTCAAGAATTAGCTCATTGATCCTCGTGACAATCCTACAAGGAAGGAGGCCTCTTTTTCCATTTTACTGATGACAAAACTAAGGCACAGAGGAGTTAAAGCAATTCACCCAAAGTCACACAGCTAGTTGGGTGAAGTCTGTATGTATTTATACACAAACGTGTGCATGCAGGTGCACAGGTACAGATAGATTTTTTATTTCCTTTTTTTTCTTTTACTTTGTTCCAAAAATATGGACAATATCACAC